AATAAGTACATAAATAACATCAATCTGGCTGGCTTGATATAAATTCACGGGTTCTCTCTCTGCATCGAAGCCTCAGGTTTGCATGACTATCTCCAAGGAGTTCTCTCTTCCACACAGTGTGACTTGAGACCTTTCTCCAGCCTCCCTTCACCCAGGTACCATCCCTAGCAAACCTGAGTTGCACACAGGGCAACTGTACCCAAATGGATAGCCGAAGATGTAAATGAATAAAGTGAATGGCTTTATAGCCTGAACTGCCAACATCACTTACAGCCAGAGTGGCTGGTCAGTCATTCAAAATAGAAAACAACCCATTATTAGAATTTTTGTTGTTGTTACATGGAATGGTCCCTGTTGCAAGTGGTCCTTAAAATGCAATCATCCTCTGTTCACAGGTAGAGTATACAGAAGTGGAAGGAGGAAGAGAGAAGATGTGCATTTATTAAACTCCCACTCTGTATGAAGTCCTGAGTTAGGTCTTGGCTTATTTGCTTGATTTCAGTGATGAGCTTTCAAATCCGGCTTCATCAGCATCATTTGAAGCTTTTGGTAACGATGCAGCCTTCCAGAGCTCCCTCCCAGATATTCTAAGTTGGTAGTTTGGGGCGGAGCTCAGGACTCCGTTTTTCAAAAGTGCTACCAGGCACTCTTTTGATAACTAATGAATTTAGAAAGCACCAAATTCTCAAAGCAACCCAGAAATGTCCATTTTTTGTCAGTCATTTGTTGCATGAGGAAACTAAAGCTCACAGAGATTAAATGATTTGCTCAATGTCACAGACTAAGAAATCACAAACCCAGGATTAAAGATGAGTCTGCAGGATTCTGAAGCCTCCTCTTTCTCCGGGATCCCACGGGGCCTCCATTTTGATGGGGAAACATTTGTTGTTATTGTAATTGGTGATGCCACAGCACCATTTCTATGAAACTGAATTTTTTAATATATTTTTATTAAAGTACAGTCAATTTACAATGTTGTGTCAGTTTCTGGTGTACAGCACAGTGCTTCAGTCACATAGGAACATACATACATTCGTTCTCATACTCTTCTTCACCATAGGTTACTACAGATACTGAATACGGTTCCCTGTGTTGTACAGTATAAACTTGTTGTTTGAAACTGAATTTTTATTTAGCACTGCCAAAAGACATTTGGTGTACACTAATGTTTATAGATGCATTATTCACAATAGCCAAAATGTGGAAACAACCCAACATTCATCAACAGATGAATGGAATATATGTAACATATATGATATATATATTTATTTTTTATATATATATTTACATATACATTTTTATTTTTTTCATATATATATCTCTCCATCCCCAGGGTCCCTGCCACACAGGCTCTCACAGAGGCTTCTCCTGCTCCCGCCGCCTCTTCCCCAGGGAAGCAGGAGTGGCAAGAAGGTAGGACAGAAATGCTCCTCACAGCATCCTCTTACCCCTTTACCCAGCCTTTCTCCAAGGTTTGTGTTCTCATTTTGTGGCCCCTGGGATGCGAAGGACAACCTTTGGAGCATCAGCTGTGCACACTGGATGTGTAAACATACACACCCAAAAGGGGTGAGAGAGAGAAAGGGACACACTGGGGACAAAGACAGACTCGGGCCTCAGGAGCAGGACACAGAGCCAGCAGGACGGTGACTCAGAGGAACAGGGCAGCAGCTTGAGGGCGTGTGTGGAGACACTGAGACGTAGCCAGCGGGATCTCAGAGACACAGGCAAAGAGGTGTGAGCCTGAGGAAGCCCAAGAACAGACCGGGTGCACCAGAGAGGCACCGGCATGCATACAGCCTTAAAAAGGAATGAAATTCTGGCACCTGCTACAACATGGATGAGCCCTGAAAACATTATGCCAGGTGAAACAAGTCAGACACAAAAGTACAAATATTTATAATCCCACTTCTACAAGGCACCCAGAACAGGCAAATTCAGAGACAGAAAGTAGACTAGAGGTCACCAGGGGCTTGTGGGACGGTTATTATTTAATGGGTACAGAGTTTCTGTTTAGGTTGATGAAATGGATCGTGGTAATGGTTATACAATATTGTGAATGTAACGAATGCCACCGAGTAGCACACTCAAAATGGTAAGTTTTATGTTATGTACATTTTATCACAACTTAAAAAGCATACAAAAGACATTTGGGAAAAACAGGAACCCTCTGGAACAAACCCCATCTGTGAGATTGTGAAGTAAGCTCCCAAGAGCTTACACAATGTACACATGGTGAGATGATCACCACAATCAAGCTAATTGGCATACCCATCACCTAACGTAATTATCTTTTTGTGGGTGTGTGGTGGGAATACTTAAGATCTACCCTCTTAGCAAATGCAAACATACAATGAAGCATCGCTCACTGGGGTCAGCATGCTGTACCTAGACGTCCAGAACTCACTCATCTTGTAACTGAAAGCACGTACCCTTTGACCAAAATTTCCCCATTTCCTCCAGCCCCAACTCCTGGCAGCCAGCATTGTACTCTGTGCTTCTGTGAGTTTGACTCTTTTAGATTCCACATGTGTGCTCAGGCAGCCTTTGTCTTTCTGTGTCGGGCTTATTTCATTTGGCATAACATCCTTCAGATTCATCCATATTGTCACAAATGGCAAAATTTCCTTCTTTTCAAAGGCTGAGTAATATTCCATTATATACCTGTGTATATATCACAATTTTTATCACATTTATCAACAGACATTTGAAAAACAAAAACAAATTTAAATCCTCTGATCCTGCAAAAGTCATTCCCTGCCAATTTAACCAAATAAGAATTTTTCCTTTGTGACCTCTAATTCAAAAAGATACATGCCCCACAATGTTCGCAGCAGCACTATTTACAACAGCCAAGACATGGAAACCACCTAAATGTCCATCAGCAGATGACTGGATAAAGAAGCTGTGGTATATACACACAATGGAATACTACTCAGCCATAAAAAAGAATAAAATAATGCCATTAGCAGCTTTCACATGGATGGGCCTGGCGATTATCATACTAAGTCAAGTAGGTCAGAGAAAGACAAATACCATATGATATCACTTAGATGTGGAATCTAAAAAAAAAAAGACCCAAATAAACTGATTTATAAAACAGAAACAGGCTCACAGGCATAGAAAACAAACTTATGGTTACCAGAGGGGAAAGGGGAGGGTGGAGGGATAAGTTGGGAGTTTGAGATTTGCCGATACAAATCACTACATGTAAAATAGATAAACAAGTTTATTCTGTATAGCACAGGAAACTATGTTCAATATCTTGTAATAATCTATAATGAAAAAGAATATGAAAAAGAATATATGTATGCATACGTATGACTGGAACATTATGCTATATACCAGAAATTGACACAACATTGTAAACTGACTGTACTTCAAAAAAAAAAATCCCTCCTCCCCCCAGAAAAGTTTTTCTTTGTGAATGAAGTGTCTCATCTAAGATCCAGGGTGGTCAGCACAGATGATGCCAAGATGAGAACAGAAGATAGAGACAGGAGAACTGTGAAATAGTTCAAAATCATCATTTTATGTTTTTAATTCAGTTTGAGAAGTTACTTAAGGGTATTTTCTCCTCTTCTGTGTTTTTCTAGATGATTTGTATCTCCAAGGAAAATGTGATTGCATCCTGCAGATCAAAGACACTGAAATAGGATGCCTGTAAAAGAACATTTGAGGCCCCTGGAAAGTTAGGGCTTGTGTAGCTTCTGCAGTGAAAAATGCAATCAGAGAAAGAAAGAGAACAAGCATCTCTCATGCAGGCCCTGCATTTGGTTCCAGAAGATGGGGTTACAAATTGGAGAAGTGCAATGATTCTTGGTCCTCCTGTATCTTGAGGCGGTGAGGCTGTTAGATCCTAGCAGGCAGTGCCATGAAGGACCTCCATCTTGGGGTGGAAAACGAGCAGCCTCATTTAACATCGCAATTAAGTGAAACACCATGAATCTAGCCCTGGAAGTGAATCCACAGGAGATGCCCTGAGAGCCAGGAAAAGAGCTACAGCTTAAAGTAAGATTTGCAAAAGTGGTATATTTATACAATGGAATACTACTCAGCCATAAAAAATAATAAAATAATACCATTTGCAGCAACATGGATGGACCTGGAGATTGTCATTCTAAGTGAAGTGAGCCAGAAAGAGAAAGAAAAATACCATATGATATCACTTATATGTGGAATCTAAAAAAAAAATGACACAAACGAACTTATTTACAAAACAGAAACAGACTCACAGACATAGAAAACAAACTTATGGTTACCAGTGGAGGAAGGGCATGGGAAGGGCTTAACTGAGAGTTCAAAATTTGCAGATACTAACTACTAAATATAAACTAGATAAACAACAAGTTTATACTGTATAGCACAGGGAACTCTATTCAATGTCTTGTAGTAACCTATAATGAAAAAGAATATGAAAACGAATATATGTATGTATATGTATGACTGAACTATTATACTGTCCGCCAGAAATTGGCACAGTATTGTAAACTGACTATACTTTAATTAAAAAAAAAAAAGATCTGCTAAAGTGGCAGGAATGGCATACGTAAGCTTTAAATAAACTTCAGGTTTTGTTATAGATACTTTTGTCCTCTTTTAATAGTTAACCTGACCCCAGCTCAAGAATCTGAGATACTGAGGAGTCTATTGTGCACCTGGAGAAAACTTTCAAAACCTTAATTACTTATAATCTCGGTTTCAGCAATCATCTCAGTCATGCTGGTATAAACCCTCCTCTTTTACAGCTCCCAGATGCTCCAAACCAACATATATCTTATCTCCAGCAGGAGACTCTGTTTTTTATGATTTTAAAACATAGCTTGAAAAAGGTCTCCATCTTATCTCGGAGCAGAAGTGGTGTCACTCGCCAGCCCAAATATTCTAGGAAGATTTTCCCCTCACTCAGCTGCTACAGCTGCTTCTTTCAGCCCCAGCCAGGCTCCCGCTGAGATAAAAATACAACTCAATTTAGGTCAATGATTAAATTGAAAGTTATAATATTACCGATTAAGTTTGAGCAAATAGAGAACGGGGGAAAAAAAAACCAAAAAATTCCTTGAGAGGGGGTCACCTTGCTACCTGTCTTCACAAACAGCACCCCTCGCTGCTCCCCACCAGAAGGCAGAAGTCTGAAGAATGCACTGAAGCAGCCTCCCCTGTGCCTTGCTGCAAGTGTCTCCGCTTTCAATCGCGAAACAACCACTTATTGTCTCCTAAGCATGTTTTATCTGAGAGCCTGTGTGTTCATTGGGCTGTGGAAGAAACCTTCCAGCGTCAAGCTCATTTCCTGAGACTGCTAGCCCCGAAGGAGCTGGGGGAAGAGGCACTGGGGAAAGCCGTGGAGGAGACCGTGCTGAGAATTATTTATAGTGCAAATGACTCAGGCATGGTGGAGACAGGCAACACTTTCGAAGATTAAAATAGCTATCAAGGTAAGGCGCCCTGTAGGACAGGGATGAGGGCGGGGAGAGCCAGGTACCTGGGGTTTCAAAAGGCTCTCTCTCTCAGATGCCAAGTCTGGACTTACTGCACCTCCTGAAAAATTGGCCCCACGAGTGCCTCCCTGCCTCCCCCGTCCCAGCCCTGGGGTCCACACATCCTCAGAAATGACAATAACAGGTTCTATTCTCCCAACCTGGCTTGTTTAAAAGAAGACTTAGTGAGGGCCGGGGTGGGGTGGGGGGGCATCCTTAGAGCAAGCCAAGGTTTGTCTGCCAGAGTTGGTAATCAATCCATAGTTCGTACACTTCAGCCAGCCACATCCTCTGACCCGTTCCACAATCACCAAACATCTTCCTGTTGAATTCCCGATTGGTGGGGGCTGAAGAGCTGAGGCTCCCTCCCAGATCACACTGCAGGAGATTCCCCAGCCATAGACGCACAGTGTTCTTGCCTCATTGTGCTTTAGAGGGGCTATTATCCCTAGGATGATGGACTGATAGTTCTCAAGTAATTAAACAATGCCAGGAGTCTTTTAAACAATCCTCTAATTACTAGTCTCACCACCAGAATTACACCCTCCAAATCCTAGCTGATGCTACTGTAGAATTTTGGGAGCTACAGACAATAGGAGAAAGATCCCAAGAGAACGTCTCGTCTGGGGTCACGATGCATGAGTGGGTCCAAATTTCCCAGGGTGGTAGCACCATCAGGACAGTGGTTTCAGGGGTTTTCTCTGGGTCATTCCAGCCCCCAAACCACAAAGATCCTCTGCTAAGGCCCAGATTAGCAGCAATGTTTTGTCTTATTTTAAGAGCAGTTTTAGGTTTACAGACAAATGATCAGAAAGTACAGAGAGTTCTCACATCACCTCTCACCCTCTCCTCATCCCCCTGTATTATGAATGTCTTGCATTAAGTGTAGTTCATTTGTTAAAATCGACACACTGATACTGATGCATTATTATTAACTAAAATCATGGTTCGCGTCAGGACTCACTCTCAGTGTTGTACACCCTGTGGGTTTTGGCAAATATATAACGGCCTGTATCCATCATTATAGAATCATACAGAGCATCTCTCCTGCCCTAAAAATCCCCTGGGCTCCACCTATCCCTCCTTCCCCAAAAAACCAACAAAAAAATGTGTTTCGATACCCAATTTGCTAGA